GGGCGGCGCCCGTCCCCGCGGCCTCGGGTCGCCCCGGGAGCCGGAGCGGGCCCCCCTCTTCGTGCAGCCCCTTGGGGGAAACTTTTGGGCCGCCCCGTTGCCATTTCTTATTTTATTCGGACATGAGGGTTGGAAGGGGAAAGATGGAGGAGATCCCGATGCCGGGGCCGTCCCGAAGAATTAGCCCGGGTGGAAAGCGGCGGAGCTGCGCTTGGCCGGGGTGCATCGGCGGCACCTCCTTGGGATAACCGTCGTGCAACGTATACGCGTGCATACACTGTGTATGCATATGCATATCTATAAATATATGGAAAGACTTGGCCGATCTTCCCAAGAAGCAGAGGAATTCTGTGTCCCATGGGGCTGGCTCCTTCCCGGAGGCAGCGCTGGTGCAGGGTCCCTTGGCCAGGGCTTGCACGGGGACTCGCCCGCTTGCCCAGAGTGGCCGCGCTCGGGCTCTGTGGGCCTGTTCCCAGCTGCAGCGTGCGGGTGATCTGAATTACCTTTCCCAAAAGGCCTCGGGGAAAACTCGTTACAGTTGTTATTTGGGGAAGCCCCTTGAATTATTCCCCAGATAATCTTTATTTTGGAGGCATTGAGGAAATTTTGTGCCCAGGCTGCCTAGGAATGCTTTGTATTTGCAATGATCTGATTGCCAATTTTAAATGCTGTGTGAATACTGCTAAATATAATTGTCACAAATGAGGCTTTCCTTGTTCTGTTGCTTCTGTTCCTCACCTCTGGTTAATCACTTAGATCTGAGAGAAATGCTGGATTAAAACCCAGTTTTTCTAGTCTTGTGGACCTGAACCACACAAAATGGGCCTGAGCAATGCAAGGGCTGCAAAGGGTGGCTGCCATTTTTTAGTCTTTTTTTTTTTTTTTTTTTTCCCCTCTCTCTGTAAGAGCTGGTTGGAGCACTAGTTCCTGAACCAGACGCTGATTCATTAGATAAAATTCCTCGGCCTGCATTGTGCAGGGAGCTGGAGCCCATGTCCATAGGGGTCTCTCGTGTATCCCAAAGGCGCGTTTCTGCAGCCTGCCCGTTGCAGGGTTGTTAGAAGCAACTTGCTGAAGTCCTGGGGAGGAGGGAGGTGGTCAGAGAGCCGAGGTTCTGCCTGGAGCCAGGCCGCGCGGATGGACAGGCCCAGGGTTTACGTTTAGGTGCAGGGGCTGTAGAGATGAAAGGAGGGGGCTCCTGCTAGGCCGGTGTCCGTCCCAGGAGGGGGACGGTCTTGCCGGAGGCGCCGTCCCGCTGGGCCGATGTGTAAAAGCGGTTTGTGCCGTTCTGGAAGGCAAGGCCCGGGCTGGCCGAGTGCTTCTTGCCGCAATAGGAGTAATTCAGTGCTGAGCATTAAGCACGTCGCGCAAGCCGGGAGTAGCTCAGGATTCGTGGCAGAATAAAAGATGAGTCTGCTGTCCGAGGACGAGTCCTGGGGGGCTATGGGGAAAGTCCTGCTCCTAATCTTGTAGGGGAAAACTGCTGTAATCCATCACCCAAACCGGCTTCTTTCCTCCTCACTTGTGCTGCTTGTGATGCATGCAAAGAGTTAACGGGCTCCCCTGTGCCCAGCATCGATGTCTGTGCGGAAACTGGCCCTAATCCTTTGCCTGGAAAGCACGAATGGTGCCTGCTGACTTGAAACACCTGTAGGTTCCCCTATGTGAACGGGGCGTGGGGCGCAACCGAAACGGGACCGGGCATCGTGGGGGTAAAATCGGTGTTGGACGAATTGGAGGCAGCCTCGGGGTGTCCTCGGAGAGTCCAAAGAAAGCGGGTGCAGGGGAACATGGTGCTATGGGCAGTCAAAGGGTGCAGAGCCCTGGCAGTGAGGACAGGCGAGCGCTGCTCGGCCGAGCACTGTGCTACACGGTGGGCTGAGAGCCGAGAGGTCACTGAAATAGTGCTCCCGGGCTGGTTTGATCCAGTGCACCACGCAGACACCTAGAATCTAGTTATTTTAGTTTATCCAGGTCTAGACAAACTAAAACACGTACACAACTGGAACCGGCTACAAAGCTAAAACACCCTTTCCTTCAGCAGCGAGTTAGGTCATGTTTCAAAACAATGACTAAGTGCTCTATTTTAACAGATTACTTTTTCGGGTCCAAAATACACAAATGCAATGCATTGGTATCTGATAAAACAGCTGCAGCTAAACTTAATTTTTCTGAAGTTGTGCTGATTCTGCCTGCTTTTATGCGGTAAATTCTATCCATGTCTGAATTTTAATAAGGCTGCTGTATTCCCAGCAGCCTGCTCTCCTGTTTGGAAGCAAAACTTTTACCGGCACTCGCATGGATTTTGCTCGGAACTGTATGTTGATTAAAAAGAAAGGAATCCTGTGCTTGTGGTTGAGCCAGGTGAAGCCCCGTGGAAGTCAGTGGGAGCTCCGCGAATCCGAGGAGCGAGCGGCCCCGCGGAAGGTGCTGCTTGTCTGGTCCAGATGGCCGGCATTGCGTCACGGCTCAACCTCCCCGTAGAGCTTCTGGTGTCCCTCGTGTTGTAAAGATCTTGCTTAAAGTTTGCACTTCTGGTGAATGTGCTACGTGCTCAGGTAGCTTGTATGAGTACAAGATAAAACAAGATCCCTGAAATGAGTCATAACAAAGCCCTGCTTTCACTTTCCTAGTATAAACAGCACCTCGTATGTATTATGAAAGGACATGATTTTGCTCAACCAGGAATGCTTTCTGCTGGCATCCAAGGCAATACTAACATGTTTGGAAGGAACTCTAATAAAGCCACTTCCCAGCAGAGCCAGGAGCCCTTGTGTGCTACACATACGTGTAGTTTGCCCCTTCGATTGTAGAAGGTGGCTCTAGTTGGGTACCTCCCATGTGGCCTGTCCCCAGGGCCACCTCCAGGCTTGTGCAGGCCTTGACCTGTGTGAGGCGATGGTAGAGCCCTGTTTAGCTCTCCAAGGCCTGTGCCAGCATTGGGACCCGCCTGCCCCCTCTGCTTGGTGAGGCAAGGCTTGGACTTGATGGCTGTCGTGGGGCCTTGCGTCTTTGCATTGCCTTTATTTAACAGGAGCTTTGTTTACAAATGTGTTCCCCTCCAGGCTCTCTGGAAAGCCGCTGTCAGCGTTGCCCCTGAAAAGGGTAAAAAATGGAGGTTGCAAGGGAAATTATACACTATTTCTAAAAAGAAGCACACAAAATTGTGCCTTTTATGTTCCATAACAGGGTTTGGTCTATTCTAGTGATTGGGGCTGAAGAAATTGTTCAACTTTCTCTTTGGCTTTCTCTCCGTTTTACGTGATTCGAGTAATGCGATGCGCTTCTCACCGCGGTTCTGCCGGTGCTGCAGGAGGCTGCTGTGAAACCGCTGCTGGGGGAGACGAAGCGAGGCTGAAACGAAGGGCACGGAGGAAGGCGGCAGCAGGCGCCGGCCAGCAGGATGTCCACTGCAAAACTGTGTTTTTCTTTCCCTTAATTTAGGAGCTATCACCAAGTTGTCCAAGAAGAGTTTCATGTGAATTACTTGCATATTACAAGGGCACCTCACGACAATTTGCAGATTATTTTTACAGTTCAAGTGAGATGCCTTGAATTTAAGAGGCTCTTTCTAGAGTGAAAACAAGTCGAGGAGCAGGCATGTAGTGTGAAGGGCTGAAAGTCCAGTATCCAACCATACATTTGGCTAATGAACTGATTGGAGAAGTGAATTTTTAAAATTTTTTTAGCACATAAATCCCTTGGGAAGAGAGGGCTGCATCTGCGAGTGCGAAAGCTCCCTGCTTCCTTGGCTGAAAGGAGGCTGAAAAAGCCCTGGATTGTTTTGACTGGAGGAAATAGAAGTTGTGCTTGTGCGCCTTACCCAGAGAGATAATGAGTCATGTGTTTCAATGGCTGAGCAGCCATCAACAATCCCAGTTCATTATCTAAATGTCTGATTTGGCTGCTGAGCAGCGAGTTTCCAGGATTTAATTTTCTTTCCTCGGATTTCATTACCTTCTTAGGACTGAATTGATCTCCTGAGGAGAAATGCTCGGGATTATAAGGTATGTGGATGCAGACTCCTAAATCAGAACGTCTGCGGATTCTAGGACAAAGACCATTTTTATCTGCCTGACTTTCTTTCATCGCTCGCCTCTCTTCAGCAAGTTGTGCTGAATAGGTCCGTGCTGTACTGTGGACATGAATGCCAATAGACTCCTCTGTATAGACAAATTCCTTTAGTGCTGCAATCTTGGCAGAAGCACTGGGAGCTGATGAAAAAGCAGACATGAAAGGTCACGTCTATTTAGTTTAGGTCTACTCAATTCTTCTTTTTAAGGGTTGTAACTGTAGCTGAATGGGCAAATGCGCCAGGAATTGACAGTTCCCAGACAAACTTCCGTGCTCGGATGTTTGAGGAGCAGGCAGTAAAGACTGTAAATCCTGTAAGGTAGTACTTTTGGTGGTCTTGCATTTGCAATACTTTCAAACCCCGGTTAGTTTGGGAGATGGACATCAGGGAAATCTTGTGCTTTGTAGTTTGCACAAAGTAAAAACAACTTGTGCGCTGCTTTTCCTTTTTGTTACACTTCTCAATAGATAGATTTGGTTTTTGAACTTGATCCGAACACTGATCAAGTGGTGGTCGCATTGCCTCTCTACTTCTTGCAAGGACAAAGATTTAAACAGGAAGTCTTTTCTTTAGTCAATAACTTGACTTCAAAGACAGTAAATGTTATAACTCTT